ACATAGGGTGAGAAGGAAGTAGGCAGGGGATTGATCCTTGGAAATCAGTGTGAGAGATTAACACAGGAAGGATTAACAGAGAAGGAAGAAATGGAGCAATAGAAGGGAAGCCAGGGGTGCCTGGGTGGCTCAGTCGGTTAAATGCCTGAGTCTTGACCACAGCTCAGGTCTTGATCTCAGGTTCTTGAGTTCAAGTCCTGCATTGGGCTCCACGCTGGGCATGGAGCCTACCAGAAGAAGAAGAAGAAGAAGCAGCAGCAGCAGCAGCAGCAGCAAGAGGAGGAGGAGGAGGCAGAGGAGGGAAGGAGAAGAGGTAGGATAGGGAAAAAATATGATCAGATCAACCTAGAAGTTCTAGAAAATCAGAAAAAATGAAGAAGGGTAAGTAAAGTAGCCACTGTATTTGAGAATTTGAATGGAATTGCTAACCCTAGGAGAGAAGTTTCGGTAGAGTGACGGACTGGGGCAGAGTTAGTTGAAATTTAAGCTGAGCCGGATTGTGGTCGGTCGAATGAGAGACAAGCATGAATAGGGGACACCTATTACTCTTGCAAGAAGTTTCGAAAGGAGAGAAAGAGAGCTACAGGGCAGTAGCTTGAGGGGCTGGGGTCCTCAGAAAGGCTGTGTCCTTAAAGTTGGATGACACTTAAAGAGTTATGTGCCAGAGAGAGGTCAGAGAGGGGGGGAGGGTCTCATCCCAGGGGACTGAGCAAGGCTGCTGAGGAGGCAGGAGGAGAAGTGATACAAGTGAGGCCCATGATAAGAGGCTCAGCAATGTTTTACTACTCTAGTAGCTTCCCCATCATTTGGTGACTATCCTTAAAACAGAACTTTTAGGGTAGATTCAGTAAATTAGGCAGAGAACTCTTCTTATATATTTTTGTATTCCCTACCATAGTATGTTAGATGGGGCAGGTATGCCTGCAATTTTTAAAATTTATTAAATCAGTCCTCTGATCCAAAATCAACAACACTCTATTGCTTACAGGGAATGAAAGTAGAAACCAATTCAAGCCCTTCAGCATCTAGCTAACATCGAGGTCTACACCAGTTTCCACTGTGGCTGTCCTCTCTGGTCAGGCCGCTATGTTGGCTTACCCACAAATGTGCCTAGTTCATCCCGCTTCCTTCGCCCTGCTCCCACGCTATCACAATATTATCCCCTCTGTACAATAGGGAGACTGAGAATACAATCCCAACCCATCCTAGCCTACAGGACCCTTAGGAATGTGCCATCTGCCTATCTCTCCAATTACATTTGAAACCACTCTCCCCCATGCCTTCTTTGCTCCTCCAACAGGACAGTATTTTCCTGCCGCCAGACATTCACCCTGACTCTGCTGCTCTTTCTTTAGCATTTTTCGTGGCTGGCTGCTACTCATCCTTCAGGTCTCAGCCTGAATGTTGTTTCATCTCATGGGATGAAAGTCGATCTATGCAGAGTACATCTCGCATCCCATTATGAACGATCATAATACATTTTTTATTTCCTTCAAAGCACTGAGAACTCTCTACTTATTTTGTCTATTGTCCTTCCCTCCTTCCCCCAACAGAATGGAGGCTCCATGAGGGCTCTTCCCAGGCTGTCCTGTCTCCTTCTTACCCCCAGTGTCCACTATAGTGCTTGACAAGTGCTTTATGAGTATGTTTCACGAATAAATGAACAGCTCCTCCATAGTCTCAAACACCAGCTTAAATCCCACCTCCATAGTTAATAATAATAACAATAGCTTATATGTATTGAGTGCTTCCTTTGTTCCATATGTTATCTTACCTGATGGGCCCCCTCCCCCATTCACCTCCTGTAACTCATACGGTAGTTATGACCTAAGCCACACATTCTGTGTTTACTTGAAATTTAACCTCCTGCTTTGTTATTTGATATATTACACGCATCACTCTTTTTTGCTCCAATGAAATGAAAATTGTTAGTGCTCCCCCATAGCATTCAGAATGTTCAAGGTATGCTGAGTCACTAAAGATATTATTCACATAATAAAAATGTTGATAAGGGGAGCGCCTGGGTGGCTCAGGTGGTTAAGCATCTGCCTTTGGCTCAGGTCATGATCCCAGGACCCTAGGATGGAGTCCCACATTGGACTCCTTACTCAGCAGGGAGCCTGCTTCTCCCTCTGCCTGCTGCTCCCCCTGCTTGTGCTCTCTCTCTCTCACAAATATATAAAATCTTAAAAAATTTTTTTAAACTTTGGTAAGTTATGCTTATTATAAACTTCAGACAGAAAATCAAACCCAATATACAAGGGGACAAACTCCATTCTACCAGTAAAATGTCAAAATGGTTAAGGCAAGATAGTTTGAACTTTGAGGTAGGAGATATGCAGTTCGATCCCCTCCATTTCCAGAACAATTTGCTAAAATCTTAACTTTCTAGAAAAAAAATTGTCTAGCCTGGCAAAAATGCTTGCAAAACCAAGCTTTATTTCACACTTCTCAGTGCTGCGGCAGGTTCCATAAGAAAGGTTCCCAGCATGAAGCACTGACTATTGGGTTTTGAAATATCTGCTTTGCCGTGTTGTGGAGTCCCAAGCTGAAGGGCCCTCCAGTGTTTATGATCTCTAGGCAGTGGATTGGAGAACTTGGAGTCCATCTTGATGAAGATGGCAGGAGGAAGATCCTCCCAAACTCCTCTATATTCTTCTGCAATCTGGAAATTCAGTCCCACATCTCACCTTGGGTTTCAGTTGCAAACTGCTAGTTCAAGTTTTGAACTCAGATCAAAAGAAACATCCCTGGTCTCCAAAGAATCCACTCTTCATTGTAAAAGATGACTTCAGGGGAAGTCTGCTCTGCTTACCCCACTGGGTATGGCCCTCCCCAAGGCTGTTAGCAAGCTTGGAGTCCCCAAGGGCTCTTATCGCTCGCACTCTACCCTTGAGTGAACCACAAGAGTCACTCCTGAAGTCTCGGGCTCTGAGTACACACAGCAGGGATTTTCTTCTTGGGTTCCACCCTGGAGCAGATGTGTACAATCAGGAAAATGTCACCCAACCTGTCTCTCCTCATCTGATAGGTCAGCCAAAAGCACCCATCCTTCTGGGTGTCCTACTGGATGTGCTTCCTTGAAGAGAGCCTCCCTCCTATTAAAAAAGGTATCTTCTCTTAATTGAAACTTAAGCTCCACAGAAACAACTGTTCATTTCAATAGAATATGGGCAATGCTGTACTTTGCCAAGGATTCTGTTTTTCAGCTTCTTCAGTGGTCAGGGATGTAATTAAATGCCATCATTCTAATGACACACATTTTCCATTCCAGCTGCCTGAAGTTCCTTCTCTGCTAAATAGTTTAGTAATTATCTCTTTGGCCACTACCTGCCTCCCCCAGGGAATGGCCTGCCAGAATGACCTCTACTCCTCCTTGCATTTTAGAGTCCCTATAAATTAGGAAGAACTCTTGCCATCTTGAGTGATGTCATGATGCAGCTTATTTATTTACTTATGGGAGTGGAATGTGGCTCTTTTCTCACTTTGAATTAGGACCACTGGGGACAAGCACCGCCAAGGTAGTCATGATTTACCAGAATGCCAGTTTTCCAAAATTCTTACGTGTACAACATTCCAGAGTGTAGATGGAATACGAGGAAAGAAGACAAAATTTATTGTCATAATCCTGTAGGGCTAGCTTTGGGCAAAGCCAAGTCCTCAATATTCACGCAAGGGCTCTTTAGATCCTGATGTTATCTCCAAGTGAGACTGTAGAATCCCAATGTGTGTGTGTTAGCAGATCACTCACCAAGTGTAAATAAACATTTAAAATATGCCACACATACCTGCTCTATGCTTTTTTATTTGTTCATTTAATATATCAGG